ACTGGTGGCGATGTCAGCGTGGAGGTCAATGCTGCCCCTGGACAAGACTTGACAAAGATCCTGAATGACCTGAGAGATGAATATGAGCAGATCATTGAGAAGAACCGCAGGGAGGTGGAGCAGTGGTATGAGGTCAAGGTATGTAGGAATGCCCAGAGTGGAGTCTCCTTTGGTGGCACAGCCCAGACACCCTGGTACCAGGACTGGCTGAAACAGAGAGGCTCCTTGCAGATGGGAGCTCTCATTCAGCAAATCTGCTCCCCTGGGGCTCAGCAAGTGTCTCTGGGCTTTGTGTCTGCAGATCCAAGAAGTCAACCAGCAGGTCACTTCCAGCAGCCAGGACATCCAGACCAGCAGCCACCAGCTGAGCGAGCTGAGGCGCGAGATGCAGAACCTGGAGATCGAACTGCAGGCACAGCTCAGCACAGTACGTGGGGCAGCATCTGTGGGCCCTTCCCTCCCTGGCTCGGGCAGGCAGCTGTAGAACTCTGCTCCTCATGTCCTGTGTTTGCCTTTCCAGAAAAGCTCTCTGGAAAACTCCCTGGCAGAAACCGAATCTCGCTACGGATTCTTGATGCAACAAATCCAGGTGCAGGTCAACTCCGTGGAGGAGGAGCTGGCCAGCATCCGCTGTGAGATGGAGGGGCAGAGCCAGGAGTACAAGATGCTCCTGGGGATAAAAACCCGTCTGGAGCAGGAGATCCAGCAGTACCGGGCACTGCTGAATGAGGGGCAGCAGGATCTTGTGTATGTATTTCATATTATGACAAGGGAGTCAAAAGAAACCCTCATGTACTTATTTGCCAATAGAGACCTTTTTGTCCCTGAAGCTATATCAACATGTCTTTCAACTGAATATCCAGTGTTAGTAGGTTTTGATGAATTCTCTGTTGGCTTTTTTTTTTTTAACAGTGCCTCCCAAGGAGCTTTCCAAGGAGGTGGAAAATCCTCCCAGTCATATTCTGCTTCCTTCTCTCATTCCCAGTGTGGAGAAATTTCAGGTAAGTCAAAAGTCAATACTTTGTAAGCGTGTCATTACTAGTGGGTTCCATCTGCCCCAATAGCTACAATGTATTTGGTCAGAAAAAAGGTTTGTTGTTTGGGCTGGGAAAGATTCCAAGGTCCATTAGCCTGGGAGTGAGAAACCTCATTACTCTGTGGCAGCACAATCAGGGGTTAAAATACAGCAAGTGCTGCTCTTCCCTCTGCCTAAATATAAAATATAGTTTATAAGCTTTATTGGATGGGAAACACTTTTTCACTTACTGGAACAATAAAAAATACAGTTCTGAGAAAGCGCCCAGAGTGCTGCTGGGCACAGAGCCTCTGCTCCTGTGCGACTAACACTGTCAGGTGTAAGAATTCCACCCAGCAGGAATGCTCAGACTTCCCCTGAAGGCAGTGATTTGCTCTGTGCTCACACAGGGCAGTCAAGAGTGTGCTAGAGCAGCAGGAGAGACCCTGGCACTGCCCAGCTGCGACGAGAGACGCCCACGAGTTTCTGCAGCACGGCCGAGAGAAGGGTTTGGAAGAGCCTGGTCACCTGCCCCAGCACCCCCTCCTCCTGCCTGCAATGCTTGGCTTACTCAACTTGTCTTTGGCAACTCATTCTTTGTCAAAGAGCTTACACTCTGCTGGTAACTCTGCTTTAATAAATCTTTATGTCTGCAATTCAAATCACAACATGTCTGAGAAAATAAATGTAAGCAACCTCGTGCGGGTACTTATCCAGATCATCCAGTAAATACAGGCTGGGGAGTTGTACTGGGTACATGATCTCTCAAGTCCATTCTGCACTAGGAAAATGGACACAGTGCTGGGGTAGAACCACTGAGTGAAAGGAAATATCAGGAATTGTGGCCATGGCTGTGTGAGGTGGGACAACTGCCAGCCTCTGCTGGGGGAACTGCTGGGTGAGGCTGGCAGAACTCTCTCTTCACAAGCAAGAGATATAAGGTTGCAAAGAGAAACCTTGTTGCCAGTTCTTGACACAATTTTTTTCCTTCCTGAGATGTTAAAAACCATTTACCATTTTGTTTCTTAATGGCTACTAAGGGGTTGCTTTCTGGCCCCTTGCCTTGCCACTTGTACTAAAGAGAATGAATTATGCGAGTGAAAGGAGAAAGAAAATACAAATGATGGGTAACGATCAGGAGATGAACTGTTAATTTACTAAACTGTGCCCAATGGTACTACTGTGAGTTATCTGAGTCCAATAATCTCATCACAGCCAGAGTAGTGTGGGAAGGAAGGTGTGAGTCAGGAGAGGTTCTTCCAGTATGAAGGGGCTTCCTCACAAGTATTTCTACACCTTCTGTTGCACAGAGAATGACGTCTTGCTGACTTCTGTTGGGAGAAACAGACAGCAAGACAATGGATCTGTTCCCTTCAGCATCATGCACCAAAAGCATTCCAGTGTTAATAGAAATTTCAATTGAAATACTGATATAATACCGAGAACCCAATTTCTGTTAGTACACACAGCTGGTTGATAGTCTGCCTTAACAGAAATGAGAGACACATTCCTTTCACTGAAGCTATCTTCTATATTTTACTGCTTAAGAACATAAGATATGCAACAAAATTAGAGATGAGACAGCAATATTAAATTAGGGCAGCCCCTTTAGATGTATTTTGCTTTCTGAAGATCACAATGAGGCCCTTTGCAGACTCTGACTGTTGTGCACCAGATACACGAAATCAGCCATGTATCACTTACTGAGATATGTTTGTCATTTTTGTCCCTTCCCACTGATTAAACCTGGTTTCTAGTATTTCCCATTTCATTTCACACTGAAAGATTGATCTGTTAGGGTAATGCAATTAAACATTTTCTCATCACAACCAACTTAGAAGAGTTGGATTTTGCTTAGGTCTTCTGTCAGTAACCACATGCCTTGGCTCTGCCAGCACAGCACCCTGACTGCAGCCTGCAGTGAATGTCCACAAAGAATACATTTTCTACTTCTGTTGAAAAACTGACTTTTATCAGTCCAGCATCAGGAATTTGTGTGAATAAAAGCCTGTCTACAATGAATAAAAAGCTAATTTCAGGTTTTAACTGTATAGAAAGTGATGTAAGGCAAATGCAAACATGACTTTTGTCTCTAGAGGCTGCCAGAGCTCACTCAGGTCTCAGCTGTGTTTACTGCAGCCAAAGCAGCTGCAGGAGACGTCTTTTAAAGCCAGAATATGGAACCTTAAACTACAGAAAATGTCTATAACTGAGAAATTTAGAATTCAATTAGTTGCCATCATTGATTACAGGAGCGCATGGAAGCAGGTAGAGAGAAAGGGAACAGGAAAGGATCCTTCTGCTGGAAGAGCCTAATTTCCCTTGGGAAGCATCTCTAAATTTGTCCTTTTTCAGTGGTAGGAAGGACTATGAGTAATGATTTAGCTCAGCTGTAGAATTAAAATAGCTCACAGTTAATAGGATTTTCTGTAGGATTTTCTATACATACACAAGTTTATGAGCCCACCCCATGGAGTGACATAAGAGGAAGACAAGCCCAGAATGAGGGGTTGTGGAAATCCTACAGCTCTGAATGAACTGAGCAAATGCTCAGGTTGAGTGATGCTGCGGGACAATGGATGAGGAATGCATAAATGGGGTTCCTGATGAAACTCTTGGGAGTAGCACTCTTCTTACCAAGACCACATTTGACTCATTTACTGTAAAACAATTAATTACCAGTAATTGTATCTAGGACTGTCCTCTCCCTCTGGTGTCACTGAAGACATACATCCAGTAATGGCATCACAGCCTCTGTGGAAACCACAGGCTGCTTTGGGTTCTTCTGCCAATTTGGGGCATCCAACTTCACCAGTGAGTAAACTCACACTGGGAAAGGATTCACAAGATTCCTACTTCAAACAAACTTCTGACTTGCAGAGGTCCATGGGGCACACTATGAACAAAAGGTCTGCCAGGGGAAAATGTGATTTCAAAGCTCTTACAGTGCCTGTGAATGGCTGAGGAGCCTCAACATCTACAGCAGAACATGTCTGACCTGCTTGTCCACCGTGAAAGGTAATGGCTCCTGAACAGTCTTGGCTCTTTTGGCTCCTGAACAGCCTTGGCTCTTCTGGCTTGTGAACTAAATCAGCAGGTCCAAACTCACAACAGCCAACTCAGGCCAAGAGCCACAGGACAGAGGCCAGAAATGCACATGGAGACACGGAAATACCCCCAAGTTACAGAACAGTCCAGGGATGAAATGTTTGAGATGCAGTTATGGCAGTAAGGATGGTTAGAGCACCTATTCAAAAAAGAGGAGAGGAACAGAGAGACAGAGAAAAGGCACCTGGTGACAGTATGAAATTACAGCATTGGGAAATGTCAGAAATTGTTGGGCCGGGTTTTGTGATGCAACGACGCTGAGGAGGAGATATAAAATCAACACCTCTGGCACTAACACCAATCAGCAATAAACTTCTCATACGGGAGAATAAAAGTGCATTTCAACAATCTAATGAGGAAAATATGACTAAGGAATCACACCCTGTGAGAAAATAATTTTTATTTTTTAATAAAGATGACTCAGTCTCAATAACATATGCAAAGCAGCTGGTTCTGACGTGTGGATAATTAGAGAGCTACCAATAAAACAACAATCATAATTATGTAGATCAAAGGCTCTGTGATATGGGGGTGGTGGTGTGTCAAGAAAGAGGGTGAATGGTTTTCCATGATCCTTCAGTCAGCTATAACACACATTAGTAACTTTATGGATCTAATAATCACTGTGGCTAAGAAAAAAAATCCTGCTTGAGCCACGACTGCAGGGTGTGTGTAAGTAACAGCATAAATGGAGAAACCAACAACAAAAAATTGAGTAAATTATAACTTCCAAGTAGAGATGGATTTCCATCAAAGTTCAACCCTCACATAATGAGACCCCTTGTCCTTCAGGCTTAAATTCACATTTTCCAAAAGTTATTTAAAGGCAAAATTTCCTTTCCAAAGAAGGGCTTATCACAATCTGCCCCCTTACCAAAAGGCTGCAGTGGTACAGCACTAAGGGAGTGAAGGTAAGGGGGGATTTAGAGGGTCATCACAGCTACCTCTGTTATACAAGGATGAAATCCCCAACATCAATTGACTGAGATCAGATTTGAAACTCTCTCTTCCATCCACAACTCCTGCAATGGAAACTCTTCAAGACCCTTCTGCTTCCCATAGTTAAAAATTTCCCCTTGGTTCCCAGCCCAAACACATTCAAATCCAGACTGTGCCCTTTCCTACATGGACAATAGGATTGTTCTGTATTTCAAAGAGCCCTGGTTCCTCCTTCCTCAAGAACCAGCTGATAACAATCTCAGCCTCTATCTGGCCAAGCCAAGTCCTCTTTCCTCTCCCAGGATACAGCCAATGCAGCCATATAGATTTCATGTACATATTTCAGTTTAAGATAACCCCTGAGTGATTGGAAATATGCACAAAAATGTTTAAAAACTCACAGCTTTAAAATGGCATTACTGCATGCATACCAGAGCATGAGACAGGAGGATTTCCTGTAAGTGATACCACCAGAGTTTGGTGAGAACAGAAATAACACAGCTGCTGTTAAGTTCATTCTACTGTGATTTACCACTAAGTATTCTGAGAGACAGTGCCCACAGTGAGCATTCTTTTCTAGGGAAAAGAAATTCTAAACCTGAACTCTAGATTCTGACTTAAAAAAGAAATTCTGAAGAGATTCTATTTCCAGAAGTGGCAGTTCCGAGGCGAATTTCAAGCAGCCTCACACAAAGGGTGTTTGAGTTCATACTTCTCCAAATCTGAAATTAAAGCAGAGAGATTAGGTGGTTCTTTCACCACCTGTTTTGAGGACAAAAGAAAATTACTCCAAAGAACAAAGAACAACTATTAAAATGAGTCTCACTCACTAAGTAGCCAGCAACGAGCTATCTCCAACAAAATCTAACTCACAGCCACCCACCCGAAATTGCAGTGCAGGCTTGGGGTGAATCAGCATGCAAACCCAGTACCTGGGGGGAGGGCTGTCCCAAGCCCCAAAAGAAATTCCCCTTAGCACATCACTTTCTGCATGAGCTCTATGGCTGGCAAACCCCATGGGAAGCTGGACTGCCTGGCAGGTGACACCCACCTGGGCAGGTATAAATAGCCACCAGCAAGGACAGCCCGCTACACTTGGATTTCCTGAGTCTCGCTGTGCACAGCTTTGCACCTGGGGCTGAACATCTGATCCTTTCACCATGAGCTGCAGCATCAAGAGAACGTCCAGCACCTCGTACCGGAGCGGAGGAGGAGGTGGCGGTGCCTGCGGGGGCAGCAGCGGCCGCAGCTCCTCCGTGTCCTGCCGGCGCTACGCCTCCTCCGTCATCGGCGGGGGCAGCTACGGCGGCGGCCTCAGCATGGGCACCATGGGCAGCATGGGCAGCATGGGCGGCGGCTTTGGCGGGGGCTTTGCGGGCAGCTGCGGCCCCGGCGGGGACCTGCTGCTCAGCGGCAATGAGAAGGTCACCATGCAGAACCTCAACGACCGCCTGGCCTCTTACCTGGACAAGGTGCGGATGCTGGAGGAAGAGAACGCTCAGCTGTTGCACCACATCCGCGAGTGGTACAGGAAACAAGCTCCCAGCGTTTCCAAGGACTACAGCTCCTACTACCAGACCATCGAACAACTCCAAAGTCAGGTAAGTTCACCCTGCCTCCATCTC